AGATAACAAACCTTCCCTGCACATCAATGTTTTAGAACTTCTTCGTGTTTAAAGGATAATATCTCAAGGTCTGAACTTATTGATGGAAAAATCATCATGCTTCACTCTGACAATTCCACAGTGGTGTCTTACATTTCCCATCAAGGGGGCACTCTGTTTTTGAACATTAGATCTTTATTGGGCCCACTCTCATCATACAATCTTACTAGCTTGCCATGTTCAGGGGTGATGAATTTGGTAGCAGATCAATTGTCTCAACCCAACCAGGTTCTCTCGACAGAGTGGATGCTGCATCACAAGGTTTTCTGTTGGATTTGGTTTGGGACCCTGATGATAAATGCATTTGCCACTCATTGGAACACTCAACTACTAGCATTCAGTCAGGACTGGATGGGATTGCACTTCTATGCCTTCCCATAGATTCATCTGTTACCCAGAGTCCTAGATCTTCCACAGTCACCCTATATAAAGTGGCTTTATGACTGATTGGATCCCAATAATTTGTTATGTCTAGTGAGCACCTTAAAGTGTTATGTTGCCTGTACTCATGCCTTTTGAGGTGCTAGGCAATGACTTTTTATATAATTGGATCCTTCAGTTTCCCAGGATTTATCCCTAGTTACCTTGATGAGATGGGTACATAAATTGATCCATATCACTTATTCTAGGTTCTCTTTGGAGGTGAGGAGAGTTCTGTGAGTCACGTCTCATCAGATTCATCACATTTCTATATCCTTAGTGGCCCAGTTGAATTGCCTGCTGGAGGACATTGTGGGGGGCTGTTATGTGGACCTCCCCCAATACTTTTATCATACATTATTTGCATGATCTGGCAGTATCTTCCTGTGAGGGATTTTGACTACCCCTTATAGGTATCTTTACCACATCTGCTAGATTATAAAGAGGGGTGAGTATCTTCATTACTAATCTTGTCTCTTCTTTGCTTTCCAGGGTCCCTTATCTCTTTTTCACAGGATTCCACTCTGTGGCAAGTGTTGCCCAGGGAGGTGTGCTTTTATGAAACCAAATATACACTAGCAACCATTAACACAGTATATTTTATCTAGGTTGCAACAAGCTCTGTAGAAATGAAGTGTTCCATTAGACCAACTAGAGGCAGACTGGGTGATATTACTGTACTATGCTGGACTGCCACTCATGGACTATCTTAAGTAAAGCATAAAGGGATCCTGCTCATCCCTGGTGATCATTGGATTGAATAAATCAGGGTCAGTTTGCTTTTAAAAATTTAGGGAAACTGGGAATTCCAGAGAATTGTTCCTCAGGGCTTCCCAGCATGCATCCCCCCCCCCCCCATAGTTTACTAGTGGAGCTAGGGAGTCCTTATCACACTCGGTTCCTAGTCACTGGGGTGGTGGACAGAGGTTATTCCTCAAGAGTGCTCAAGTGAATTTCTTACACTCTTAGAGAAGAGGGTGAGGTTGGGGGCCCCTCCTACCCGGGACCTAGGATGTTGTTCATAGATGTTGGTAAGAGCAGCACCAGTCTATGTGGGAGCCTACTTGTAATACTGATTCAAATTTGATGCTCAGCTATCTGGTTGGGTTGAACATGGTTTTTCTTTTTGATCAATATTGGTTCAGTACATTATTCATGGAAAAAGGTCCATTGCCTCCTCATAATTCCGATTGCAGAGTGATTCCATTGTGGGTCCTTGGTTGAGTGCAGTTTGTTTCACATCCTCCCCATAATTGTGGGGACAAGTGATATTTACCTTGCTCACATGATTGGGGAGTGACGATGAGTGTTCATAATTCCAGAGCAGATGAGCTCTGTTTCCTCAGGTTGAGTATGGAATACAGGATCCCATCATTTCGAGTTTGTGGTGTTGTCTTTCAGACTTCTTCAGGTTGAAGATAGGGTTTTTCCAGTTCGGTGTTGCTTATCTTCTCGTCGCAATTCCGGTGGCTCAAATTGCATTACTCTATAGGTACAGTTTAGGATCCACCTACACGTGTGTGTGTTTGTGTGTATATATATATATATATATATTGCAGTCCAAATTCCCTAGCCACCAAAGTGGGATTTAGGGACCATGGCCCTATAATTCTAACCATGAGCAGTGGAACCTCGGCTACCTGGTTGGGGCCTGGCCAGTAGTGATGATGGATCATGTCAAATTCTACCCGCAGTGCATGAATTAGGTTCTGGGTGAAGAGCATACCTGTTCTGGATGTAGTGTATTTCCCCCACTAGGGTACTAATCTTCTAATGGCTACCTGGTTGGGGCCTGGCCAATAGTGACGATGGATCATGTCAAATTCCACCCGCAGTGCATGAATTAGGTTCTGGGTGAAGAGCATTCCATGTTCTGGATGTAGTGCGTTTCTCCCACTAGGGTGCTAATCTTCTATTGGCACATCCATGGTCTATGCAGATGCATTCTGTATGGATAATGTCTGCACTGTTTTCTCCACCTTATCAATGTGGGATTCTAGCTGTAGTGTGAGAGGAGGTAAGTATGTTTCGGAAGTTAACATTTTCTTAAATCGAAAATGTATTTCCAATAATACTTACCTCTGCTCTTCCTCCCCACTAAGACCCAGTGTTAGAGGCTGCAGATTGAGTCATTTTCAAAAAAGTGATCATATTATATGAATGAGATGCTTATATACAGTACGAGGAAAAAAGGTGCATTGATTTAAGTGGAGAGTGTCACGAAATAGATATCACCAAGGGCAATTAATTGGGGGAATAAAAGACTGGAGGAAGCGAGAAAAATTCAGACCAATGCTTAGATGGGCAAAGGAAGGAAATCCTAGCAGTTGAGTAATATTTGTAGTGTGAGTAGAGGTGAGTATTATTGGAAATACGTTTTTATTTAAGAAAATGTTAACTTATGACGTTTCAAACTAGTACATCTGGTAGAAACATTACAATAAAGAATCTAGTCATACAATTTAAATAACTTGCAGACTGCTCCAGAAATCTGACAAGACCAAAGATTCAGAGTAAGCTGTGATATGTATCCCATGGTTCAGTGGTAAGTTTACAGATTTACAATGCTAAAGTGCAAGGTTCGATTCTCAGCAGTATACAAAGCACAAATACAAATTGTGAAGCTTTACATTATTTCAGTAAATGTAGGAAAGCATGTGTTCAAGGTGAAAATTTGTGGAAAAAGCTATGAGCAAAAGCAGTTATCAAAAGAAAAATATAAGGCTAGAATGAAAGAAACTGATAAGGTTATAAAAAATCAGCTTTATTGGGCCTGGCTAGAAAACATTTTAAACTTTCGATGTATATTAACAACTAGAAATATACATGTTTTTCATGTTAATACATTAATTTTTCTTCTGATTTGCTGAGAATGTAGAAATGCAACAATGTCATCATATTTTTTAATATCTCATGTATTATTTGGATTTTATTACTCCTTTGATGATGCACAAGCTTGTCAACAATGAAAGTTTTTATTATAATTATTTTATGATTGAAAAACACAGGATAAAAAACAAGTTATGGTAAATCAAATTCAAAGAAACATTTGTGCTTTTTGCAGGTGGATCTCTCTTCGTCAGGGTTAATTGATTGTGCATAGGGTTAGTCTAATAGACTGATTCTATATTGAGAGAAGGAATATTGACTATAATTCTGAATTTACTGTATGTATTTACACGAAATGTGACAAGCTTTTAGTAGAAGTGTGTTGTAAACAAAAAATCAGAAGTCTTACAAGTGTGGATGCAAGATATATCTGTGAGTTGATGATGTCAGTCTGACTTGGACTCTGACAAGTCAGAGTGCAAAGTTGATCTGAAGAACAAAAATACATTTTTGCATTTGCACAACCTGTGGAATGCATAATTATAGTTTTGGCCAATATCACTGTATATTGTATCTAGTATTTTCTCTACCATGAACTGTCACTATGTCAGCAATTTAAAGTAAAATGAATAATTGATAACTCTGACATTAGGTACATTGAATTGTACTCTTTAATAGGTTGTGGCATTTGCACTTTGACCCACATCTTTTCATATAGGTTCAAGGTCATTATTCAACATATAATAATATGGATGTTTAATCTTTTCTACTAGTTGTCACTTTTGGTCAAATGTTTGCTAACATTATGAATACTACTTGAAATATGTATTGGTGTTGATAGAAACTAAACTGGTACTGAATTATACTTTCTATATGAAATATTTGTGGATGATAAGATGTTCAGTTAACACTTTCTTACACATCTACCTGGTTTTTTGTACAATCCTAAATCTGCATGCATCCTAGAAGTTTTATATTACAATAGTGTTGCTTTTTTAAAGGATATCACAATTATGTAAAAACTTTTACCAGAAGTGTTGCTGAAAATCTTCATTAAAAATTACAATTACTAATAATTAGTCTTGATTGTGAGTGACAGGCAAACCATAAAAAGCCTCTGTGACTACTCTGCCTCCTCAGGTCATCTTTTAAGTATTCCCACTGTTAGATATATTTTCCAGTCTTATGCTAATTAGAAAATACTGCTATATGTTGTTTTGTGCAGTGTAATGGGGTCCCACATCTAAAATTTGTTTGCAATGACATCTCTTGGAAGCATAAGGTGATGTTATTGTAGTATTTTCATTTAATCAGTCATTCAGTGCTATGAATAAACCTGGTTATTGAAATAATTATTGTGCTTTTTATTCTAAACTACACCAAAAACACAGATCTATTACAAAACTTTGGTGTTGAGCTCAACAATCTCGAGTGGTCTTGCTACACATTTTCAATATGCAGAGAAATGTAAATTTCTCTTCCATTATAATAAAGCCTCAAAGAGTAATAGTTATTTTAAACTTGACTATTATTATGTTTTAAATTATTCGTGGTGAGGGATGCATATGTATTTAAACGTTAACCATCAATTTATATTTATTACTTTATATTTTCTCGTAGCCTAGTTTTTTCTCATTTTTATATTCTGCCTTCCAGATTGGATTTGTTTTTGCTTTCAGTTATTATCAGATTTTTTTTTCTGTTGCTTTCAGCAATTTTTCCTTGGTTATCCATTCTAATTTCTCTGATTTCGTTATCAACATCTCTGGTTTCCTATCAGTCTGCACTGCGCCGGTCACTTCCGAACAAGAACGATTTAACCAAGACTGGGAAAGTAGTGATGTTTATGTGGAGACTGTTCGTCATAGCATCACGGGTGGTGGCTCTCTCTCTTTTTGCATCCTACAGTCCAATAGCCTTAGGCATTTTCTGTGGAATACATTGGATTGTGATGACTTTGTGGATAATCTCAATGAAGACAGACTTTTATGACAATAAGTAAGCACAAGTTTTTATGTTAAATTTATTATGTGTGAAAAGTAAAACAAAATGCTTTTCTGCTCTTTACATTTAAATGGTAACTCCTGTATAGGTGTTTGACATTAGGTGCATACAGAATGTAAAACTGTGCATTGTTTAATAGAAGTTATAGAAAAAATATAGATGTTCATTATTTTGTTCCTTGATAATTTAACTCTCCTTTTACCAATGATTATTTTATATAAACTTCAAGTTATAATTCTTTTTGTATTTTAGAACCATGTTTGAGAATTTTAACACAGTATTTATTGCTAGATACTTCGAACACACTGAAAAGATGATGAACAGCTAATATTGCTGGTCAAATTTTTTTGCACACACCAAAGTTTATTTAGCAAATTGCTGCATGCTCTTCATTTTTCTAAAAAATGATAAATTAAGTGTGATGTATAAGTTAATAGTAACATGGTTCACATGAGTTGGGGAAACTGGTATTTTATGTTCTGTGTCCGGGAAACATTGGGGAATTTCACTTCAAGACAAAAATTGAGAAACTTTAATAAATTTCTTGTGATTCAGTGATGCTTATAGAACATTGGATGGCAAAAAAGTAAATTATCATTAGCACCAAAAAATTACATACTGATTAAATCTTGTGCATTTAGCACGTCAATATGCATATTTTATGCATAAACATGGTTTTATCTACATCAGTCTTTTTGTTTACTGTTAAATGTCTTGGAGTATGAAGGCAGCCATAATAGATTACTAAACAGTAAATAGGTTCCTGCCAATATGGAGTGCAAGGGCTCTGGACGAGGCTTCATCTTGTTTTCCTGAAACTAGGTCACAAACGGTCAGTTTAATAGTCTTAAAAACCCGTAACAAGTTAGTAATTAAAGATAGGCTGTTTCCATTAAATAAGCTATTTTGATCTTGCACATTTTAGTGAATTAATAAAGCAGTCTATGTCAGTAGTAAGAGAAGGAACACGTAATACCCTGGGTATATTACGTCATTGACATATTTGAGTAGGAAAAACTTGAAAGATGTCAAAAGAAAATGAAAAAGCTTATTTCAGTAAAGCCATGCAGTTCAAGGTTAAAACCAGGGGCAGATTGGCTCACCAGAACACTGGGCAATTACCTGTCAGGCCAGTGTATCTGATGCATTCTTAAAACTTGATTTCAAGTTTTAACTGTTTAGCCGATATGCAGAATGTGCTATTGTCCAGGCTGGTCTTTCAATGCCAATCCACCCCTGGTTAAAACAAACCTACACAGTTTTGATGAGTTATTATTTTTACTTCATGTCTTTACTTATGTTAAGTTGATTATCAAAAATAACTATAATAATTATATAAAGTGATAGTTTATTAGTAAATCTGTATTAATTCATTATAAAACAATATACGTATCAGTAAGCATTGCCTACAGCACATAACATCATGTTCTATAGTACATTCTGGGCAGGGGCTGTTAGTGATACGTCCAATAGGCAGATAGAATACTACTAGTGACGGTAATGAATGGCAATGTATAATAGCAGTAATTTGGAAATAATAAGTTTGGAAAAAATTAGATTAAAAGATATTAAAATATAGAATGTTTTATTGACAGTAACTAATAATATGAATCCACACAAGGTCTAGTTAGAACAACTCCCTCCCCCCTTTTTTTGTTTTTTGGGTGTGTGTGTGTCATGTATAAGTAGTATAAGTTTTTTATACAGATCTTTGTTTTCCTTAGTACCATATTTGCTGATTAACGGTGTGCTATATATCTTGGGAGATACATGTTCTGTCAAGATGTCATTCAACTTACTATTTAGTCATTGAAGATATTCTGTTGTGTGACAGCAATACCCCTCCTTTAAAAAAAGAAAAAAAATACATGAAATAATCTGGGTATAATATTTGACATAAAAATGTATGTGTATCACCACCAAACTAATTGCAGGAGTTATTATATACATATACACTTGTTGAATATATGTGCTTCCCTTTTATTACCCCCCCCCCAAGTTAGTACATGAGAATTTGGACAGTATGTGATTTAAAAGGTGCATGTGAAGACAATGGTAAAAATAAGAAACTAAAATCACAAAATATGATAATTATACTTTTTAAATACTTTTAATATCCTGTTATTTTTATTTTTAATCGAGACTTGTAAAGTATATGCAAATATTTACCACTGAGGTAGCAGTACTCCTGTCTCAAGTAGCTGTATCAAATAGCTTTATATTCTACTATGTTTTGGATTGCTTTAGTCGATAAATAGTTAATATTTTAGAAGCATTTAGTTTTATTTACCAGAACAATTTAAATGCTACGAGTCACATCAGTGTACCTTTCATGAATTATCCTAAGAACAGCTAGCAAACTTTTTAAGTTACATAGACACAAAAAGGTTTCAGTATGATGTGTCAAGTACATTTTGATAATCTATCCAATAACATCTAATACTACATGTACATATAGTGTATACACACAGTTTTGTCAGCTTTAGTTAAGTTAAAATTGAATTGTACAATTTTTATGCTCTATCATAAACAATTAGATAAACTGCATTTGTTGTGTAGGTTCTGATAAACCATTAAATATTCCAGAACCTATTTACCAATTATACTAACATTTTGCAAGATGACATAAATTTCATTAAATTTTAAATGAACAAAAAAGGAGCTTATTAGCCCATCAAGGATGTCCCTTCCAGCTCCCAACTATAACCACCCCTTACTACTCATGTATTCATCCAATCATTTCTTGAACTCAGTTAAATTTTCTGCTTCCACCAAGGCAAGCTTGAAGGCAGCTCATTCCAAAAGCCAACCACCCTATTTGAAAAGTAATACTGTCTGAACTGCAGACGACTCCTACGCTGCCAAAATTTGAATTTATGACTCCTTGTCCTATTGTTTTCACTGCTAAACACTAAAAAGTTTGATGGATCTATATTATGAATATCTTTAATAATCTTAAACACCTCTACAATACACTGTTTAGATGACTTAAGTGATTTTTCAATCACAACACCAAGATATTTTTATTCAACCACAGTATTTAATGTATTCCCATTTAAATCATAACAATACTTTGAAATGTGAAAACCTACATGCATCACCTTACATTCTGGATAGTTAAACATCATATGCCATGTAATAGCCCAATGCATCAAATGATCTAAATCTCCTTGTAAGTCTGCAGCATCTTTGATACAGTTAGCCACCTCAAAAATCTTAATTTTCTTAGTCATTCCTGAGTCAATATCATTAATATAAATCACAAACAGTAGAGGACTCAGCACAGAGCCTTGAGGCACACAGCTTGTAACTGTGATACAGTCAGATCTAACTCCATTTATTACTACTCTCCAGCCAATTTTCTGTCCAATTTATTAACATTTCCCCCAAACCCACAGATTTTATTTTTGTAACAGGTCTTGTGTGAGGCACCTAATAAAATACTTTATGAAAATCAAGGTAAACCAAATCAACTATAGGTGTTTAATTTATTGTATCCAAGCAATGCATATAAATATAATAGTTTATTACTTATTCCAAAGAAATTACAGTTATTAGATTTAAACTGATCTTGTCTAAGAATAGTATTACCAAAACTCCAGATACCTAGCCTGAAAATAATGAAAGGACATGTCTTAAGTCACCATTAAATCCTTGTCAATTTTTTCAGTGTTTTGTTATGATTTATAGCCAAAAGTGTTGTCTACTGGAATCAGCACAATAAATTATCAAAATAAACGAATCAATGATTGTGAATAAATTTGAAACTGACTGGATATATAAAATGGAACTTCCTTGTCATGGAAAACAATCAAATTCTAAGATAAAAGGAAGTAATCTTATTATTATTTGTTTCACATCAGGGTCTTGAAACCTAATAAAATGACAAAAAAAAACTAAACTGAATGATATGAATTTGTAAAGCAGAACATTGAAAATACATAATTAGCTTGTACTAAGTTTCGTGCCAGTTAATTAAGTATCTCACTGCAAGAAGAAAATAACAGGGAAATTTTAATGATACCATTCTGGTCCATAAGGGCTTAGATCTGCAAAACTGGAGGTTTAAATTAAATGTATACAAAGTGTGATTAAAATAGTGTCTTATCTAGTGATTTGACCATACTCAGTGGCAGACACATTTATACCAGCCCCAACCATGTGACATTCTACTTCCAACTTTAAGCATTATTCACAGCTGCATATATCCTGTTCATTTAGAGCATCTAATTAAGCACAAACAGCCTACACTAAAAATTGAGAAGTTACCTAAATGTAAATATAAATATCCTTTTTTTTCTAACTTATTTACCTTTCAGAGCTTTGGTAAAATCGAAACATGTTACTAGTCTGTAAGAGCCTAATTTTATATGTGCTAGTAAGAATAAAACATGACATATGGAAGAAAAACATAATTTTACATAAATCACACACAAAAAAAAACACCATGCAAACTAGTAAGAAAAGCTTTTCTGTAAAACAAGAGCAAAACAGACATAATTCAGTAAGATCCTGATTTCAAGTAGACAGATGAACAACTGATGAGATACTTCATTAAAAAATCTACAGAAAATAAGTAAAAACAACATGAATTTGATTAGTAATGATGTGATTTTATTTACAACAATATGAAGATGAAGTTATAGAGGACACTAATAACTAAACTTGCCCTATACCATATTAGCACAATTTAAAGCATATATTTAAACCAATGAAAAAACAAAAAAACAATTACTACTTAGATCAAAAAGAATTAAGTGTACAGAGAGAGATTTGTAAAAAACATAGCACAATATTGGTCAGTAAAATATCATTTGACATGTCTTATTAAGAATAAAACTTCAGACTGGTAAATAAAAACATATACTTATGTAAAACAATATGAACAAAACTTCAGGGAGTACATAATGTAACCTCTCTTCAGCTTTGTTACAACATGCAATTTTATGCAGGGGTTAAAACAGCAAAAGCATTGCAGTTTTTATTTGTGGTAATAAAAGTCCATTCAGACCAAAAATAGAAAGCATTTGTTTAAGTGAGAAATATTTTTATTTTTGTATGTTAATAACCCGTTTATGTAGATCATTAAAACACCATAACAGTCTGTAAGACCTTCTCGACACATTCATATCAATTAGAAAATATAAATAAAAGTATGAAATATTAAACTTGCTACCCTTTCTTATCATGAAGAATTAATATATCTTTATTCATGTATATTCGGGTTGACTTTTAAATATACCAATAGAGATTGCTTGTGTTTAGTTCAATGTTGTCCATGTACAGGATGCATCCTACTGTGAACGATATACGTAATTCTGCAATTAAATTGTCACTGGTTTGGTCTATTTCATGTGCTTCTGTCTCTGTAAGTGGACAGTAAGTTAAATAAGTTCTTCGTGAATTATTATCGATATTTGGCATATTGGAGTAGATAGACAGATAGAAAACTACTTGCTCTTTTTTTGATCGTGACACCAGTCTCCTGACGAGGGTTATATGACATTTTGGGAAGTTCCAGCTGAGACTGAACTTCATTATATGCCCTCGTTCTTCTTATGTGGTAAATTGTCATTGTCTTTGTACTTGACCACTGTCTTAATATTCTTCAAAAATACCCTGCCCACTGTTATTGTACTTAAACAGATGCTGTAAGGAAGACAGAGAAGCTGGTCTAATATTCAAAAGATTGTAGACGTGCTGGCCTTGCTGCTCGTTGTGACCATTCGCCATATTGAAATGAAATGTGTAAAAACCACCTATATCAAACTAACTGGAGTTGGGTGAAATAAAAACTCGTTTGTTACAAAGGATAGAAAATGGTGTTTTTACTTTTTATCTTAACATTAACATTAAAAGTGCGATCAAAATACATAAAAGTACCAATACTGAAAAGAGACATACTGTTTTAAAAAATTCTATGAAAATGAAATTGGATGGGGAGTCAAACCCTCTCGTGACGTTCCTCATGTTATCCTATATCACTGTGTCAAGTTTGGTGCTGATTGATAAAAAAATGTGGAACAGATGGATGAAAGGTGCGAATAAACAGACACAGCCTTAGCTTTATATATTAGATGCTCATTTATGAGCGAACGCTGAATTGAATGGCCAACTGTTTGTATTTTAAAACATATAGCTAATCATAAAATAAACGTGATTGGCACAATTTTATAATGGTATTTTGTTTTGTCATATACAAAATGATATAAGTTCTAGTTATCCCTCAATTATTCTCTGCAGTGTGTAACAAGTATTTTAGGAATTTCGAAATTTGTTGCAGCTTAATAGCTTCCTAACACAGTGGTAAGTATGTGGACGTATAACGCTAAAAATCGGGTTTCGATACAGATATCCCTTTGTGTTTACCTATAAACAACAAAAAAAAACACATCTTAATATTATTTAAATAAGAAATGGAAAAATTTCCACTTTATATTATTTATTTTATCAGTGTAAGCACATTATTAAATTGTTTGTTTGTTTTTAGAGCAAAGTTACAAATGGGCTATCTGCGCTCTTTCCACCGTGGTGAAAATGAACGCTGAATTTCGTGTCATAAATCTGTAGACCTGTCGCTG